TCAAAGGAAAGCAAAGGACATAGCAGGCATACGTAACTGAATAGAACATAACAGCTAAGCATGTGTGTTTGTTGGGAAACATAAAAGCTATTTAGGACCAGGTTAGGCTTGTTGATCACAAGAAGAGGGTATTTATTCTATATATTTACTGAGATTATTGATAACATGAAACACTGGATTAAGCAAGAGGGTCAGTGGAGCAGGGAGGTTGCAGGGGCCCCTTCATATCAGGAGTTTACAGATCGTGAGCTCTCCTCTGCACAGTCGGCCCTTTGTGCCATTTTACTTTTCTCAATGGTGGCTTGTGGTTGAGGCCCCCTGCACAACCAGAAGTAGCACAATGACAGCCATTAACGTATTTCTGCACAGTTACGTCACACAGAGCCAGCTTAACCCTGAGCCGCACATCACGGTGACCAAGATAACGGAGCTTGTGCACTGTCATCGCTGGCTGGCAGACACATTCACTTCCCAACAGAGACACTCATTCAGAATTATGTAGAGATATCGGTCATAACAGCAGACAGTGTCAGAGTCAATGTCACACTCATTAATGGACACATTGTCAGTCTGTCCTCCTCACTGCGTTGTTCAAGTTGTTCCTCTGTTTTTTTTTTGCAATTATTCATTCATTTACAGTAAGCCTATGCCCTATAGTGGCTGTCATAATCATAGCGATGTAAGAAATTATGTGAAATCGGTAAACTGGGAGTTTTGTTGTTTTATTTATTGTTGTCAGCTAGAAAGTCACTCAGAAAGCACAGACCTCCGCCAAGGCCAACAGTCTAGTCTTCTATGATAGACAAATCTGTATTCACACTTTAATTACGATTATTTAAAAAATATGGAATTCCGGACTAATCTGGAAAAATCACAGCCTGTATTACTTTCTAACATATGTGCTGCATTTGTTTCTAGTGATGTTTGAGGTGGCTGTTATGTTTTGTTGTATGTTTAGTCACTGCACCTAACCCTACAGTAAGTAACATTTATAAAAATTATTTTTATTATTATTTTATTTTTTGCTGTATTTGCTGAAACTTTCCCTATTTCCTGACAGTAATACATAAGACAGATAAACTGGGGAAAAAACAGGTTCCTTTGGCTCATTTTAGCCCCTCTAATGGCATTTGCAAGAATCCACCAGGCCTTGATGAAAACAACCAATCCGAGCCAAGAAACGTGTAAAGACCCTTTGGGTTGGTGGCTTGACTGTAGTTGATTGTTGAGCGTCATTCCCAGGGTTCCAAACTGTATTTGACAACCTGGGAATGAGACCGCACAATCCTCATCTTTCGCAGCTCTGATTGGTTGTTTTTTTGTTCAGGCCCAGTGGATTCTTGTAAATGCCATTATGGGCACTAGGAGGAGCCAGAGGAACCTGTTTTTTTCAAAGAATTATCTGTCTCATATCAATACTGTCACAAAGAACAAAATCAATATACGTGAAATCAACCAAAATAATGAGGCAAAAAATTTCCAATGGAAAAAAATGAAACTAACTGACTTTAATTTCAAAACAAATTTAAACGAACATAAATTCATTGTATCTGGCCCCAGTGATCGGAGATTGGCCTCCAATGAATGGTTTCTTCCTTGGCCCATGCTACACACTTCCACCAAGTTTCATAAAAATCGGCCAGTAGTTCTTCTATATTTCTGCTGACAGACACAAAGCCTGCAAATGGCACCCAAAACATAATCTCCTTGGCGGGGGTAATAAATGTTTTTTCAAGTATGCCTATGTTGACATCTTTTATAAGGTATGTACAGACAGAAGGCAAAGTGCAGTTTGGTCTTGTGTCATTTCCTGCTAGATCGTTCACACAGTCCTGTGCAATAGATCAATTAAAAGGTCTATTCCTGCCTGTCCACCCAAAACACCGGGTAATGGGGCAACGACTATGCACATGAAATACTTTTAACTTTTTAATTGTTGTCTGAGTTCATCTGTTAAGATTAAGCAGAAAACTATTTTCTAGTTATGAGGCATGACGGCACATGAGTCAGAATCATTTATTTACCTCCGCTTTGAACTGGGCTGATATACTAAACATTGTTTGACACTGACACTGTCTGTGTTTTAGTTTGAAATGGACTCTTTGCTTGTTGTTGTTTTATCACTTCACACACTTAGCAGATTCTTTCCCAGCTGATTAAAGCAGCTCTCCTCTTTAGATTAGAGTTTATGTCTTGTTCTCACAATAAATCATGGAACTTCCTGCATGCCGTCCAGTAGTTCCTCGATTGGCGAGCAGACTTTGCTTCTTATTCTTTATCTTTATCTGCCACCTGCATCAACGTTCTAAAGCTCCGCTGACATTGCATGAAATAAACTATATGGCCAAAAGTATGTGGACTAATTACAGCCATTTATGATTGTAAGAGCTGAATATGTGATTCCAAAACACAAGTATTAATGTGCTGCTGTAACAGCCTCCACTCCTCTGGTTTTCATTAGGTCTTTCAGGGATGTCGTTTATTGTCAGAAATAGAATATAATATTCATAGGTATGTTCTCTTTAGTGTACAATCACCTGAAAATCATTGTCTTTTCGTTATCTTAGAATGAGCCATGTTAAACTGCCCTGTTTATAATAGCCCAGAACGGACAAACCAAACATTGGCTGTAGATTGGGCCTTTCCATTTCTGACAGTAGATCCTCCTAAATGTTACACACTGGACCTAGAAGTTTTAAATTGAGTCTGTCATTCAGTAGTTTCTAGTATGAAGTTTTGCTTAAACATGTTTTGCCTGAAGGAAGGGTGAGCAATACAAAAAGATCATATCATATTACCTTGAATTTCCTTCTTTGTTGTGTATATTTAGATAAGAAAATGTAATCTTATGTTTTGATTGCGATACGTCGACCCCCTCCCACTGTTGGTGACCTCAGGCCCCTGGCAGATAGACATGGTGTGCAGTGATTGGCTAATTGCAGTAACTAGGAATAACAAGGGAGCTAAATGAAGTTAAGCTGGTGTTCGAGACACAGGAGCCTGTGTGACTTTCAGGGAATTCTAATTGGTGAAACATCACAAGTCTCATAAACTGTTGCATGAAGACTTAGGTGCTGACTGGTGAGGATTCCATCTCTAAATGTTTGTTTTGTTCAGGTCAGTTCATTGCGTAATGCTGGAAGAAAGAGGGGTTTTGTGCCGCAAGCATGCAATGGCTGTTACTCAGAGCTTCCAGTTTAACTTTCACTCTTACATTCCCTACTATTCCTTTCACATCTGTATTTGTCTTCTATTTTATTTGACATATATTGAGTTATTTGTTTTTTCAATTTGCTAACATTTTGTCCTGGCTCTGATGTGCATCCCTTCTGCTCTTCTTTTACTTGTTTGAAGAAAGCGATGTCATTTAGTCAATTGTCTGTTTCCCCTTCTTTTGTGTAGTTTCAGGAAGTTATTGTAGTCTGGACAGACAGGTATAACAGCCTGGCCAGTGTGTCTTTGAGGATCTGTGGGATCAGAGAGTCACACTGCCTAGCTGACCTCAAATCCTCCACATACCTGGAAAATGGGATTAGCCTTAGGGGGGCGTCCTGGCACATCACAGGCCAGATTGGGGAATCCACACTTCCACCTGACCTGTGCTGGATTTTCCCATTAGAATGATTGCTGTCTTTGTTCCGGCAGAGTTCCCCTTACAGTGGAATAATGACATGAGATGGAATGAAGCTGAAGTTCATGCTCCTGGAAATAGCCTCAAAAGGCTGATGTGGAGCAGTTGGTCAGGCTGCCATTTCGTATTAACTCACATTACAGCACCTCTAGACTTTTAACATCCAGCACAATATGAGACTGCTCACAGACGCCCTCCTAATGTTGTGTGTTGGCACCGAATATCTAGATGTGTCTTTTCATGCTGTCAGACTCATCTTTGTCTCACCATCCTGTGGTGCAAGATTGGAAATCTGGACATATTTCTTTTTCCTCTTCATTTTGATGTTATTTTTTGTGGTTGTATGTCAGAGCACTGAAACTGTGTGTTGGCACTAACTATCTGGATGTGTCTCCTCATGCTGTCAAACCTTTGTCTCATCATCCTGTGGCAGGGGTAGGCAACCTGCGGCTCTGGAACCGCATGCAGTTAGAAGACATGATCTTACCAGACCTCTGTAGTCTGTTCTTCATCTCTGCTTGAGTTTAGTGGTTACATTAACGGCTACTAGCATAAACACATGCTAATCTCAGAATGAACTGTCAGTGGCTGAGTTGAATTCTGTGTAGTGTAGATAACAGGTTTTGACAAGGAAGAAAAGAGTTCCGTTGAACTACTTCTTCAACTCAACTTGACATCCACTTATTAGCTTTTTGTTGAAGCTTTCCACCTCATCACATGGTCTTCATCAGTGTATGGAGATAGCTCAGCACTCATGGAGACGAATCTATTGACATGCATGCTCAGTAGCTAATATGATGCCATTATGGCACTTTTAGGACGTGAGTTTCTGACCTCTAGTAGCTCTATGGAGCAGTGGTTTGTGAATGGGTCCCCATTTTGTTAGTTTATGACCACATGCACAATATGATTATGTGATGCAATACATACTACTCCTGCCAATGTTTCCCACTACCCCCCTGACTATAGGCAGCTGTAACAAAATGCAATAAAGAAGAAGACTGCTGGTTTAAAAATGGTGAAGGAAAGATATTTGTTTGTGAGGTTTTAAGGATGTACAAAGTGCATTTTGATGTAAACAAAAGAGGGTAAATTCATTCTTGACCTTGGAAAAAAAAAAACAACCCCAACTCAAGCCCCCACCTGCTAGCTTTTCCCGGAAATTTCTGTTGTATAATATGTTTAATTTAATTTTAATATCAAATCCTTATTATAGCCTGTTTGGTTACATCCATAACAGTGTTATGAAAATTTCAAGAAGGAAAATTAATTAACCTGCTTATTTTTATGTTCTCATTTAAAATGAAGCTTAACAGAAGGACAGTCTTACATAATCACAACATTCATGTGTATGTGTACATTTCTTCAGGTGTTCCTTGGACCAAACGGCGAGGTGGAGGAGTACGCCATCTCCTCCATTCAGCAGAACGCAGCTATCAGTTCGGACCTGATACTGGACCAGAAAGAAGAAAATCTCTTCATCATGACTTATAACATGGTATATGCACACACAGAGACACAACATACAGTAATTGCTCTATTGTAGCCTCATTTTAGTCTTTTCTTTCTAGACGCATCCTTCCTGTGTTGCGGTAAAAAAGCTAAAGAGGAATAATTTAGACTCTTGTTTTCTGCTCCAATTCTCTCTTCCAGTAATTCAAACAGTAGTTAGGATTATTCTAATGACCATATTTTCATTTTGCATTGTCCACTGGAATATGTGGGCCACCTATTCTGTTTAATCAGATTTCTGGGAGCTTAGTGTGCATGGTTTGCACGACTGAACATGATTGTGTTGTCCTGGTTCCAGCTGCAGAAAAGGCCGGTGGCTGAATGCCAGCAGCACCCAGACTGCCTCTCCTGTGTGCTGGCCCACGACCCCTACTGTGGCTGGTGTGTCCTGGAGGGAAGGTGAGATAATCTCCAGCCCTGGATATGTACTAATCAAGCATTTGATAAACAGTGTCTGAAACTGAACAGAATTTACTACTTAATCTAACAAAAAAATTGCTCATTTGTTTTTCTCATACCGCCTATGCTAATGCTAGTTCTAGTGAGAGGAAGGATGTTTTATTTTCTTTTTGAAAAGGGAAAGGGAAAAGTTTTGTTTAATTCACATTTAAAGGACCAGTGTGTAGGATTTAGTGGCATCTAGTGGTGAAGTTGCAGATTGCAACCAACTGTATGTTGCCCCCCCCGCTTCCAAGTGTGTAAGAGAAACTATGGTGGCCCGTGAAAAATGCAAAAGGGCCTATTTGGAGCCAGTGTTTGGTCTGTCCATTCTCAGCTACTGTACAGACATGGTGGTTTAACATAGTGGACTCCATAGAAGAGGACCCACTCCGTTTGTAGATAAAAACAGCTCATTCTAAGGTAACGAAAACACAATGATCCTTATTTTCAGGTGATTATACCACTAGTGAAAACATACTTATGAATATTATATTCCATTTCTGACAATAGATCCTCCTAAATGTTACACACTGGACCTTTCACAGCAGACTTAAAAAAAATCAA